ATTTGTTTGTTGTGGCTTATATTTTTTTTATTTTTAGTAACAAAAGCTCTAGAAATATTCATAGTATTATTCTGCCAAGTTTTGTTAGGTTTACAAATAGGAAATGTCTGTTGTTTTTATTTTAAAATAACTGCTGCCAAATTTTATTGTTTTTTTTTTCTGCCAAATTTTGATCTGTATTTTCTCCCCTAAATTTTGATATTTATTTTTCTTGCCAAATTTTAATCGTTTTTTCCCCACCAAAATTTGTATATGATAAGGTTTTATAAAATTCAATTTAAATTCCATGATAGACATTAAGACTAATATAGTATATGTAATAATAATTGGGGAACAAACAGATTTATTTTGGAATGTGTTTTATATGTGTTATTTGTTAAACATTTATTTTGACAAGAACTTTGCCATCGAAATGTCACACACAGGCTGAAATATGCTTTCAAATTTAGTCCTTCTAAACTATACCTGGTAAGTTATAATTCTTACTACTGTAAAACATGTTTAAATAGCTACACGCCATTTTAACGAATTTGACTCCATGCATGAATTAACTGAATCTTAATTTAGCTAAAGTGTAAACAATTTCATTGTGAGAATATACTTTATTTAAATTAGTAACATCTTGAATTAGCGGAATTACAGATTAGCTAATTAGCTAAAATAACATGCGAGCTAAAAAGACATGTTTTCCAGTATATTCTTCATTGATGACCTTTTATTTGTAGCCATATTGAAAAACCATCAAATTTGTGGCATAGCAAATGAATGATTTTATTTCTAGTATTTTATAAGCAATATACCAGGCAATACATTCATATTTTATTTGTTTAAAAGCAATGGTGGTAAAATACTTATTGTGTCAGTGGAGAATGTATCACCAAACTCTGTGTTCACAACACGACTCAGAGGCTTCGTCCTGACACCACTGAAGTATGAAAAGCGTATAACTATGAATAATATTAGTAAGTAATGTTAACTTGTTACTTAGAATACAATGTAGTAACCTGTCACTTAAAGTGCCTGTGAAATGGCTGCTATTTTCACGCCTAAAATTATCCATTGATACATAAATATTATTAATTTTTATGTTTCTAAGCATGAATTATTTTTTTTAAGTGAAAAAATGTGTTTTAAACTCAGTCTACAGCAACTTTATTTTTGTGTATTTTAAAACGAGACTCGTCATTAGCTTCTCATTTGCATACAGAAATTCCCCTTGTGACGTCAGAAGGGGAAGTCACATGGCAGCTTGCATTGCCGATACGTGTAAATAAGGCAAATTTCTTGTGCAGTTTTCTCGTCTTTGACTAAATTGTCACTTATGTACTTTATGAAAGAATGGACCATAATGAACACATAGTATCAATTTTTGTTGCATGGGGTTGAGTTAGATGCGAAATATGTTCGTTCTGGTGTAGCTGGTTACCGTAATCGTCACCGACACCAGCGAGTAAAACTTTCAAAATTAAAATAAAAGAGAACATATTTTGACATTCTAAACATTAGACTATAGTGATCACTATAAAATAATCACAGTTACTAAATAAATGACAGCCGCGTGGAAATAAATTGACATTTTGTTGAAATAGGTGAACGCGTCGGGTCAAGTGCGTTAAAAACAGCGTTTAATTGGATAACAAAAATAATCGACACACATACAGATAAATTCAGAATGGATTCTAGTTAGCGTGATCCATTGCGTGATTGTCATAATTATAACATCGTATTAAAACTTTATTTGGTGGAAACACATTGATCAAGCCCGGATTCTTATTTCATAAATTATTATGCAGATCAAGCTGCAAGCATGGAGGTAAAAAAAGAACAGAGGTGTGAATTCGACATTCAACACCAATCACCAAACAATTCAGAAACTTTTAGCCTTCGAAAATGAAAACAATTAGCAGTGTGTAAGGGCTGTGTAATTTCCTGTGTGTCCGACGCTTCGTTTTCGTGTCACTGTCAAAATTATTGCTACCTTTTACTAAATGGTCTCTATAAAACGATAATCAGGATCGCAAAAAAAGTCAACTCATTTTAAACACTTGCCGGACGTCTCTCTGTCTTCTGAAATCCGCCTCGGTGGATGGACGAGGACAGTTTTTCCAAAAAAAAAGAATCTGAGGTTAAGTGATGTCGCACCTTCGGATCGATTAGAAATGTGTGAATACATACACTATGACTATACGTTTCACTGCAACTTCCCACAACACAACGTTTAAAAACTGTCTCTCAAAAAAAAATAAAATAGACAAAAAAAAAAGAAAAAACGCCGACCGAAAAATGTATATCGTTTAAAAGTATACTGAATGACCAGTGTTATTACGGCTCAGGGGTATGACTTCCTCTCACATTTTGTCATTTGGTGGTGCACTTTCGGCGAGAGTCGGATATCCGGAAACAGTAGACCGTTTCACGATAGGTGGGCATGGCTACAACACGAAAAATATTCCAAATTTACTTGGATACGAGTAATCATTTTTAGCAAAAATTTTCAGTGGAACACAGATCTAAAATGGGAAACATGAGGGTGGGCATTGCACAGGCACTTTAAAATACAATGTAGTAACCTGTCACTTAAAATACAATGTAGTAACCTGTCACTTAAAATACAATGTAGTAACCTGTCACTTAGAATACAATGTACTGGTAGTAACCTGTCACTTAAAATACAATGTAGTAACCTGTCACTTAGAATACAATGTAGTATCCTGTCACTTTAGAATACAATGTAGTAACCTGTCACTTAAAATACTATGTAGTAACCTGTCACTTAGAATACAATGTAGTATCCTGTCACTTAGAATACAATGTAGTAACCTGTCACTTAAAATACAATGTAGTAACCTGTCACTTAGAATACAATGTAGTATCCTGTCACTTAAAATACAATGTAGTAACCTGTCACTTAAAATACAATGTAGTAACCTGTCACTTAGAATACAATGTAGTATCCTGTCACTTAAAATACAATGTAGTAACCTGTCACTTAGAATACAATGTAGTAACCTGTCACTTAGAATACAATGTAGTAACCTGTCACTCAAAATACAGTGTAGTAACCTGTCACTTAGAATACAATGTAGTAACATGTCAGTTAGGATACAATGTAGTAACAATGTTGTTACTTGTTACTTAATATACAATATCAAATGTGTTTAAATGATATTATTTCATGTGTTTACAGTAATGGTGCCAATTACGAGTGCCAAGTACAACATTTTGTTTACCAATGATACAGGTGAGTTAATACATTCGCTGTGTAGTACTGGTTCTACATTGTATTGCAGTGAAATTCAGATGACAGACTACACTAATTTGGCATTAACTTTACTTTTTCGACTTTGTCTTAAAATCATAGCAATATGACTTTGTAACTAATTCCTCAGATTTGTTTGTTCCTCTATTACGTTGATATTTTTAGTTTTATTGTACATTTTTTTTTCTAATTTTAGTGAGTATTCTTGTTATTACAAAATACTATTTTCATCTTCTTCTTGAAAATAGGTTGCTATATTATTTCCATGATGTATGAGTGGTCTAAAAATTGCCAATCATTTGCAACACCAACATGTTAACCCATTTTTCAAAAAGTAAAAAAAATAACTTGCTGCTGTTTGGAATGTAGTAGTAGATGAAAGGCGAAAAATGGGCATATCCTCCCCCCTAGGGCTTGCCCCATCCTTCCTAGCATATTGAGGGGAGGGCTACCTAGTGGGAGGATATGTCCAGTTTCTACCATTTACCTACTACTAATGTTGCAATTCTGCTATGTTAAGTTTAACACAATCACCTGCTGGAGCTCATTGTATACAATAAATATTGATAGTCGATCCATGCTTACAACAGACGATGTGTTAACGTGTTAATTATTTCAGAATTTACCTGGTCAAATGATGACATTGGGAAAACTCTGGTATGCCCGGGCTGTTGTACTATACTTATTACTACTTTTATGAATACCAGTCACGTACAAGGATACAGTGTGTATTGGTCACAGTCACGATCCAAACATTGTTATTTGTATAATCTTGGTGACTGGTATTTGAGTGAAGAGGAATGCCAGCATATCATGATACCAGATAAAGTGATATCTACAAATCCTGTTGTATATCTGGACCATGGTGATCAGAGAACATTCTCTGTGTCTGCTATTCGTAAAGGACAAGGTAATTCATGTGATAGATACGACATCTAAGCAGTAAGCATGGGTGGTTTATGTGTCGTTACCATCGAACTAACATGGTTCAAGTGATACTATTTGAGGAGATTTTAGACAATTAATCAAAGGGTTGTCAAACGTTTTTTTGGACTTTGATCTCATGCACCATGCCATACTGTATTTTAGCTGGAACTAATTTTAGCTGAGATGACTTTTTGGGTGTTTTGTATGGAATTTATTTTCACTAATTTGATAAGTTAAATGTAAAATATAAGACTCTAAGGGATATATGCTAGATTTTATTTTTACTGAATCAGCGCTTTAGTAATCAAGTTATGGCATAAAATCAAACACACTCATCGGGCAATTCAAAACAGCTGTGCTACAAATAATGGAGTTATGTGATTCTTCCTTGTTCACTGGATTTATTTTTTTATGACACAGCAACCTGTTACCATTGAAATATTAGACTACCATTATTTTTATTATTATTATAATAATTCAATGACAATTAGTCTGACAAATAAACTTTCATAATATTTAACATAAATTTTTTGAGGAGTGTATAATTTTGTATTTGAAATAGTTTGTGTTAAATAATTTCTGTTTCTTTCTCTGTAGTACATTCCACCACTAAATCATTGAGTGTGATGGTTAGTAATACAAAACTGATCACTGTTGTGTCTAGAACTGTCCATGATTACAATGGTTATGAAACTGTACACATTACTGTCAGTAATATCATGTATATCACGGTAAGTATTTTGATAATATAAGATTATTGTATTATTTCTGTATGATAGTTCTTGTATGTACATGAATGACAGAAGTGTGTTTTCAGGTCAAAATAAGTCATATTTTAAATGATTCATTATATAATGAATGTATTTTTTGGTTTTCATGTGTTTCTAATAGAAATTTGTGCTTAAAATATGGTATTACCGGACTCTGCCCATCCGAAAAATTAAAAAATGATCATCAAATATTTTTTGGGGACTTATAGTTTTTAAGCAGAAAATTTTAAATGGATGCAAGAAAGGCAATAAAATCTGGCAGCGAGAAAGCAATGAAATTAAGCCATCCTTGAAAACTTATACTCCTTATTTGAAAAACATTTTATAAACACTACACAATGTAGGAAGCATATTACAGAAATAGAATCACATCAATGTAAATCATTAATAATACATAAATCTTGTAAAATACTTTTTCCGGTCGAGGCGCTATATCTCACTAAATGCATAATACAGCTAGAAGAATGTCTAAAAGAATGCACTAAGGAATTGGTCGTTAATGTTCAGTACTGTTGATTGTGAAACGCAGCATGCTCGGATTGCACTACCGCAATCATTTGCTACTCGGCAATGCAGTTGTGTTTGTTTTTATTTGAAACTTATTTTAGAATATACAGTTAATGTGATTTTTTTTGGAGAAAGATGTGCTGGGTGACATTGTAATTACATTTTAGACGGTCTACGTACTTTTTAATTCAGCAAGAAAAAAATTATAAAATTTTAGATTGGCTTCTGCAGTAGTTTCTTTCGTTTTGGTGGTCCAATTGCTGGTGTTGAATGTCGGCGTAGGTGGATTTTTAAATGAAAACCTATAATGATGCATTTAATTTGCTCTGTACTCAAATAAAGCTGATCAGGGTGGCTATATATACATAATACTGTACAATGACTAATTTTCACTGGGTTTAAATTTCGCTGATTTACCATTTCAGGCATATTCAGTGGGTTTTAAATTCACGGTTTTATCATTTGGGTTGATGAAATAATATTATATACTTAGTAAACCCTATCTTTATATTACAGGGTACATCAACAGTAACAGTTTATTTGTACCAGTCGTCACCACGCTGTCAACAGACATCATTTACAGTAACAGTACTCTGCACATGTCCACCAACAAAAAGATTAGCATTTGTTTATCCTTTCCATATTAGTAAGGAAGATTATCTTCATGGTAATCCTGTAATACCTGAAACTAATCGCAAGCTGCTTTATGATCTTGAGGCAAGTATAATTGTCATTTCCGCTATGTTTTTAGTCCCCGTTCGGAGGCAGTCCGAAAACGGGGACTTATGTTTTGACCTCCGTGTGTGTGTGTGTGTGCGTCTGTTGTACGTTGGACATTATAGGACCTTGATGCACATCATTTTGTTTTACAATCTGATTCAAGATGGCCGAATGGCGGCCATTTTTGTACTAAATATTCATAAAAATCAAGCATAACTCGGCTGTTTACAGATGGATTTTGTTCAAACTTGGTATATATATTAGACATTATGGGACCTTGATGCAAATAATTTTGTTTTTCAGATTAGATTCAAAATGGCCGACTGGCGGCCATTTTGTTTTAATGAATGTGGTTCTCGTGCCATATGTCTGACTTGCTTTCACTGATTATGTTCAAATTTTAAATATTCATTATACATAATGTCATAGATAGACAGATATATTGGTTTGACGATCCTATTCAAAATGGCCAAATGGTGGTCATTTTTGTTCTAAAAAATCATCAAAATCAAGCATTTCTAGCATTTATGGATTGATTTTGTTCAAACTTGGTACATACATTAAACATTATGGGTTCCTGATGCACATCATTTTATTTTTCAGATAAGATTCAAAATGGCTGTCTGGCAGCCATTTTGTTTTAATGAATGGGTTGCCAGACCTATATGTCTGACTTGTTTTGACTGATTATGTTCAAATTTTTAATATTCATTATACATCATGTCATAGATATACGGATATTTTGGTTAGACGATCCTTTTCAAAGTGGCCAAATTGTGGCTATTTTTGTGCTAAAAAAATCCTCAAATATCAAGCATTTCTTGCATTTATGGATGGATTTTGTTCAAACTTATAACCTACATTAGACATTACAGGTTCCTGATGCACGTCATTTTATTTCATTATTTTGTTTTACGATCTGATTCAAGATGGCTGAATGGCAGCCATTTTTGTGCTAAAAAATCATAAAAATCAAATTTCTCGGCTGTTTACAGATAGATTTTGTTCAAACTTGGTATATACATTAGACATTATGGGACCTTGATGCAAATAATTTTGTTTTTCAGATTGGATTCAAAATGGCTGACTGGCGGCCATTTTGTTTTAATGATTGGGCTTCTGGAGCCATATCTTTTAAATGGTTTGACTGATTATATTCAAATTTTATATATTCGTCATACATCATGTTATATACAAATGTCAATCATTTTAATGTTAAAAAATCATATTCCTGACATGGTTATATTCCAGCTATATTACTATTAACAAAACTATATATCTTAAATTTGATAACTAACGGGGACTGCTCCATGCATGGCCTGTTGAATATAATTGCAGTATTATTACTTCCAATGTGTTAATATTATCAGTCAATCAGTGCACATCATCTTGTCAGACCAGCCATCCACTTGTTTATGGTACTGTTCATTCCTCTGAGATTGCTAGTTGAACTGCGTGCTTCCACCAGGGGATGCCAGCTATTGAACTCGACTGTAAGAGTCTCTGCTAGTGGTAGATTCACTGACAAATCTCTACAACGTTCACTTATTTGGAACTTTCTCCCCCATACATTTTTACTCCAAACTCTATGTGTCTATAGTGTCATTTATTGAAACATTAACTTACTTACTTACTTTTTCTTGAGTAGTCATGTTTAACAAATAATGTATTTGGTGCAGGTTAACTATAGACCACCATCTAAATATGGTATCGCCATACCAACTAGTGAGAATGTATATAATGTTGATCCAAGTCAAGCCATTCCTAGAAATGCTTACAGGATTTCCAAGGTGAGTTAATATACTTCACATTCTAAATATATTTAAAGACTTCAACTGTGGAGGAAAATGGTGCATTTAGGTGGGATAAGATAAGTGCATGACTCTTCATATAGCAATCATATACAGCTATACAGGGAGTATGTCATGTCATGTCAGTCTAAAATGACCTCACAGAATACTGGGAGTTTATATATTTATCATATTTGTAGACATAGTCCTCCATATGTAGACAAGTTTCTAGTATTAATTGATTGATTTTAATTGAATAAATTAAAGGAATTTTTGACTAATTTAGAAACTTTGGGCATGTCACTGAGTTACCAGTGTGTTCACTGAGTGATCTACATGTCACTGAGTTACCAGTGTGTCCACTGAGTGATCTGCATGTCACTGAGTTACCAGTGCGTCCACTGAATTTAGAAACTTTGAGCCAATATGTTATTAGGTCCAAACGTGGACAGGCATCACTAATCATGTTTTTGAATGTGCAGTTACAAATATGTACCAGTGTGTCTTCAATCTTCTGGTTCAGTATAGCTGAAGAGTTACCGTATTTGATAGAGATTTGATTTGATATAATATTTAAAATATTTCAGAATAAATGCCATCGTAGAGTTTTTCATTTTAACTGGATGCATTTATTGACTTTCTATGTGTGTTCTAATTTCAGATAGGTTGGAAGTATAAACAGTGTGCTGGGAAATCAAGCAAAGATGAATGTTTGTGTACAGATGAAATGAAGTTGTCAAATCTAGCTAGTTACTCAGATTGTAAACAAAGAGTAAGTATTATTTCAGCTCTTGTTTAGCTTACAACAGTCAATCCAACCAACATCCTGTACGTGTGTGTGCATTTGTCTGAGTAAGCTATATCATGAACCAGTTATGTACGACCTAGAAAAAGTGCCATATGCGAGTACCAAGTTACGAGTCGCAAATAGCAGTCATTACCAATCCGCAATCTCAATGGCGATAGTACCTCACAAATTGCAAAGTAAGAATGCAAAGTACCAGTATTAAAACTATCTTTCAAGTATTAAATTATCGCAGCTCACATGACTTCATTTGACAACCATTTATTTCAGGTGTACAGAGTTAGGCAGTCTGAATCTATGTTGAAGCTAAAGTTTAAAATATTAGATGATGACAAAGAAATCATATTAACAGAACCACATGTCATTTTTATAGAAGAAATTAATGGTAGACAAGATTTCTTCACAAAAAGTAAGTACCATTCGTAGAGATATAGGATAAAGAATTCTAATATATGCAGTGCAACTTTAAGTTCAGCAGAATTATATTATGATGAATGGCCTAATCGACTTGGGATCTTAAATAATTTCTCTTTTAACCAGGCAAAGCCACTAACAGTTTGAATAAAATGATGAAAAACCAAAGACTGGTAAATAGAACTGAATATTTGAATCCAACACAAATTACAATTATCATGGAGGTAAGTATATCCTAAGGTTAACAGCCTTGATGGCATTGCTTATAAATTGTCACTTATTAATCTGCATGTCACTTATTAATCTGCATGTCACTGAGTGATCTGCATGTCACTGAGTGATCTGCATGTCACTAAGTTACGAGTGTTTCCACTGAGTGGTCTGCAGGTCACTAAGTTACCAGTGTGTCCACTGAGTGGTCTGTATGTCACTGAGTTACCAGTGTGTCACTGAGTTACCAGTGTGTCACTGAGTGATCTGCGTGTCACTGAGTTACCAGTGTGTCCACTGAGTGGTCTGCATGTCACTGAGTTACCAGTGTGTCCACTGAGTTACCAGTGTGTCACTGAGTTACCAGTGTGTCACTGAGTTACCAGTGTGTCACTGAGTGATCTGCGTGTCACTGAGTTACGAGTGTTTGCACTGAGTGGTCTGCATGTCACTGAGTTACCAGTGTGTCACTGAGTTACCAGTGTGTAACTGAGTGATCTGCGTGTCAATGAGTGATTTGCGTGTCACTGAGTTACCAGTGTGTCCACTGAGTTACCAGTGTGTCCACTGAGTGATCTGCTTGTCACTGAGTTACCAGTGTGTCCACTGAGTGATCTGCGTGTCACTAAGTGGTCAGTGTGTCACTGAGTGATTTGCGTGTCACTGAGTTACCAGTGTGTCACTGAGTTACCAGTGTGTCACTGAGTTGCCAGTGTGTCACTGAGTGATTTGCATGTCACTGAGTTACCAGTGTGTCACTGAGTTACCAGTGTGTCACTGAGTTACCAGTATGTCCACTGAGTGATCTGCGTGTCACTGAGTGGTCTGTGTGTTACTTATTAATCTGCGTGTCACTGAGTTACCAGTGTGTCACTGAGTTACCAGTGTGTCACTGAGTTACCAGTATGTCCACTGAGTGATCTGCGTGTCACTGAGTTACCAGTGTGTCCACTGAGTGGTCTGTGTGTTACTTATTAATCTGCGTGTCACCGAGTTACCAGTGTGTCACTGAGTTACCAGTGTGTCACTGAGTTACCAGTGTGTCACTGAGTGATCTGTGTGTCACTGAGTTACCAGTGTGTCCACTGAGTGGTCTGCATGTCACTGAGTTACCAGTGTGTCCACTGAGTTACCAGTGTGTCACTGAGTTACCAGTGTGTCCACTGAGTTACCAGTGTGTCACTGAGTTACCAGTGTGTCACTGAGTGATCTGCGTGTCACTGAGTTACGAGTGTTTGCACTGAGTGGTCTGCATGTCACTGAGTTACCAGTGTGTCACTGAGTTACCAGTGTGTCACTGAGTGATCTGCTTGTCAATTGAGTGATTTGCGTGTCACTGAGTTACCAGTGTGTCCACTGAGTGATCTGCTTGTCACTGAGTTACCAGTGTGTCCACTGAGTGATCTGCGTGTCACTAAGTGGTCAGTGTGTCACTGAGTGATTTGCGTGTCACTGAGTTACCAGTATGTCCACTGAGTGATCTGCGTGTCACCGAGTTACCAGTGTGTCACTGAGTTACCAGTGTGTCACTGAGTTACCAGTGTGTAACTGATTGATCTGCGTGTCACTGAGTTATCATAGCATTATTCATGTTTTTTAACATGTCACTCAAGTAACCATGTAGAGTTGGCACTCATACTGAAGACATAACTTAACATATTTTCTTGTTTTACTTTCAGGGTTCAGGCTTATATCATTTTAAAGCTACAATAATGAAAGGATTTTCATATTGTCAACTTGAAGATGAATTTCAGGTAAAAGATGATTTATCTAAACTTTATTTTGGTCTATACACTGTAGTCACCTCTAATTCAAGTTTAGTTCTATAAACTAACTGCAAACCTTAAATTTAAGGTTGATCAATACAGTTTTATAAACAATTTTCGAAATTTTAAATAATATTTTAGGTCATATTTGAAAAGCATGTTTGGACCCAGGAGCATCACATTATTAATTATGAAAATATTTTCCTTTTTTTAAACTCAAAATAATTAAACAATGTGTACAGAACTATATTTAAAAAATATGAAAAAAAGTGGCACTGATATATTTGTAAATTGTGTCAGTTTCAGCAGTTTGTCCTATGCAAATAATAATAATAAATAATAATAAAATATGTTTATTCAAGTAAGAAATACAATATTTGGTATGTCACAGAAAATGGATGAATAAGGCTTCAGAGAATAGCTATAGCTAGTCTAGTCTTTTTAAACAAAACTGAGTATGTGAGGGACTTAAGTATTTTAGGTAGTAAGTGAATAAATGAATGAAAGAATGAATGAATAAAATAAATAATCAAATAAATTAATGACTAAATAACTTCCATTATTTTCATGCAATAAATTTAATTTTAAAAGTTTTCTAAATTTCAATACATTTGGTATTGATCGTATGTGGAGGGGGATACTGTTCCAGATTTTTGCTCCTGTAAAATAAGTAGCTAACTGTCCCAGCGTTGTGTTGGCTCTGTCAAGATAGAAATGTTGATGTTCAAGTGGTCGAAAGTAATCACACAATGAATCTTGAGGTTATGAATGAATGTAACAGCTCAGAGTTTATGAAGTTTAAATATATCAAGAATATAAATGTTCACCACTTACATGTATGTTCCTGAAACTGTATAGAATAATTACCTTAAAGTAATTGCTAAAGAGAATTTATCCTAATTGTGTTTCAGGTTTTTCTAGATGGTGCTGTTCTGCCGTATCCACTTCAGATGATTGTCATTATCACTATGAGTGTTGTAATTGGTGGAGCTCTCTTTGTTATATACTTATGGTATCTCCATAACCATCATACACATCGAGTTCGTAAAATAGGATCACGATGCCAGGAGATCAAATAACATCTAGTTCAAGTTCAACCTGCTGAAAGCCTCCATGTATAGCAGGAATAAATAAGAAGACGAACTGTCAACTAGAGAAGTATTAACTCAATAGAGTCTTGCCACTAATATTGTGTTTTGTAAATTCATATTAAAGTGAGAGGGTCGTCACCTGCGCACGCGCTAGAATTGAGTTCCAAGCGACAATGACAACACACGCTAAAGCGCAAAGGCTCATGGGTAGACGCTTGTTTGTAATCAATGACACGCTATGGCCATCTGACGCATGCACAGGTAACGACTCCCTCGCTTTAATTGTTTGCTGTTTTTTAATATCGCTATTTTCACCAATAAGTAGAATTCAGAATTAAATTCACATGGACATGTAAAATAACAATAGAACTCATTGTTTGTCTGTTTGTGAACTTAAAATCCATTGAAATTGCCTAAAGCATCATAATAGTAAAATTAAACTCCATGGAAATTAAATGGTTTTACAGTAATGTTCAAAACATTTCTAGTTCTAAAATTCTTATCCAGGGATTGTACAATATTTAGTTTGAATAGTAGATGTTATTCCTGTGTAATATACATTTTCATGTGACTTTCATGTGAAAAGTCGTCTCATTATAAATTGTCTTGAAATTTACGAAATCAAATTGATTATTCAATTTATTGTTCTTAATTACATTGTATTTTACGCAGATTATATTTATAACCATGTTATTCATTATGATAATTCAATCTGTTCTTAATTTCCAATCAAATAATTACTGGTTCACAAAAACCCAACTCGCCAAAATGTGTTCAAATATCAATGATATTTGTATTGTTTTACAGAAGTCAAAATGCTTGAGAAAGAAAAGTGAAAACATGTTTTTTCCTAACAGTCTGAATTAATTAGTCTGTTTGAATGTAGTCTGAAAGCAAAGAGCTATATTTTAGTTGTCACAAACTTTTTTTTTATCATAGTTCTACCCATTTTGTAAAAACTTAGTGCAAAGGCAAAGTTTGCATATGTTTGTTTTGGATTTTGATAAATTTATCTGACATAATTTTTTTTTTATTTAATCATGCCAGCGGTTATTTCATTTAAACTTGAGTGTATATGAACATCAAGCCATGGGATCCTTATGCACAATGTTTTTTTCCCCACAATCTGATATAATAATTTCTCATATGATATAATAATTTCTCATATGATATAATAATTTCTCATATGATATAATAATTTCTCATATGATATAATAATTTCTCATATGATATAATTTCTCATATGATATAATAATTTCTCATATGATATAATAATTTCTCATATGATATAATAATTTCTCATATGATATAATAATTTCTCATATGATATAATTTCTCATATGATATAATAATTTCTCATATGATATAATAATTTCTCATATGATATAATAATTTCTCATATGATATAATAATTTCTCATATATTCTTTGAGTGACCTGTTAAATTATCAACAGGAACTTAGAATTTTTTTTTTCATAAGCTTGTGTTGTTGTACCGAACATACTAGTTTGACATTCAGGAGAAGTTTATATAACTCTCTATATTTGATATGTAGTGAATATATATTTTGTTCTTTCTATTTTGGTATATAAAGTGTAATAAAGTTGTATTGTTTTATCAAAATATTGTATTGTCAGAACTGTTAAGTTACGTGTTACATACTGGGAAAAATAACCTGGTAATCCCAAATGATATAATATAGATTTCTGACATTCTCTATATACATGAAAATACATGAGAAATACCTTATATTTGCATATCCTTGGTGGAATACATAGTATAACGGTTAACTAGTCAGTTAAAGGCTCATCTACTGGAAGAATTATACAGATCTCAAGATGAACTTCATAT